ATCCAATTTAGGAGCCCAAATTATTAAAAAAAAAAAACCTTATATGAAATGAACTTTAGAAACACACTCAAAGCTCATTTACCACATAACAAAAAGGCTTTTAACTTCTTATAAATTACAAAACTGTTATTGATTTCTTAAAACAACTCCAACCCCAAAACCTCATTAAAAAAAACCCTCAAAACACTCAATAGGGTATCAAAGTAATTTAATAATTAAAATTAAAATCAATAGGGCTAGCTGCTATTTTTTGGGTTTTTTTTATAGAAATTAAATGATGTAGGATTTATCCATACCATTAGTGCTAAGAATGGGTATATAACTAAATATCTCTTCTCTTTTTTACTGTTCACGAAGTATATAATCTAATTTGCAACTTAATCATACAGGTACTGGGATCTTGTCTGGAACAAGCCGGGAGGAAAAGATAGTGTGGACAAGTAAGTCCTCTTGCTTCTTCCCTTTTAATCATTTCATACTAAAAAATGTTACCACTTTTGACTAAAAATTATGTACATAAATCACGTGCAGGCTACAAGGAACAAGATTTAAAGTTATTACAGCGACGGCAGACCAAATAGAAATTTCTTTTACTAAAACCTACAGTCCTTCCCTCGGTAACGACACAGTTCCCTTGAATGTTGACAAAAGGTAATGTTCTTAAACTTTTTCAATTAGAAAATAACAAGTACAGTCTTTATGCTGGAAATTCTCTCAAACTTTTACATTAAACTTTGATACGTACAGGTACATAATGCAGCGCGGTCGCTCTGGGTTCTATGCCTACGCCATTTTCGAGCGCCTCGAAGGGTGGCCGGAGGTGGATATGGATCAAATTAGAATTGTTTACAAGCTTCAACAAGACAAGTGAGTGTAGAGGGCCAAAATTTATTGATTATGCCGGGCGCATTGCGTTGGACTCTAACAAAAAAGTGACATCTTCACTAATTATTGTGTAAATATTCAATTGCAGATTTCGGTACATGGCTATATCTGACGACAGGAAAAGGGTCATGCCAACAGCCGATGACCGTGCAAATGGTGAGCCCCTTGCCTATCCCGAAGCTGTTCTTTTAACCAATCCGAGCAATCCTGACTTTAGAGGAGAGGTATTGGCATATTATCGATACATTTTCGACAATATTGATATAATATTTATTTTTTCATTGAAGTTATATGTATAGTCCCTATTTATGAAGAGATTCACAAATCATTTTACTTGGATGTGTATATATGTTCACTTTCTTTTGGTCTCGTGACAAAATAATTAATGATTTTGCAGGTGGATGACAAATACCAATACTCAAGTGAGGACAAAGATAACAACGTCCATGGTTGGATTTGTGAAGACCCAGCTGTGGGCTTCTGGATCATCACACCCAGTGATGAGTTCCGTACCGCTGGGCCCTTCAAGCAGGACCTTACCTCCCATGTGGGCCCAACTGCCCTCTCTGTATGTCCACCCATCTAATCTCTCTCCCCACCCATATGTGTCCATATCCATATTTGTGAGTGACAAAAGCTAATTATTTATACATTTTGCAGATGTTTGTTAGTACCCATTATGCTGGGAAGGAAGTTGGAATGACATTTAAAGATGGTGAGGCATGGAAGAAGGTTTTTGGGCCAGTCTTTATCCATCTCAATTCAGCTCCAAGCTCAAATGAATATCTCACACTCTGGGAAAATGCTAAAGAGCAGGTCTGTATAAATAATATTTCATCTTTAGGCAACATTTACGCTACTAAAAATTTAAATTTATAATGACCCAAAAATTTTCTTAGTTGGCTGAAGAAGTGCAAAGATGGCCATACAATTTCACTCAATCAGAAGACTTTCTCAGCTCTGATCAGCGTGGATCCGTTGCCGGTCAATTACTAGTTCGGGATCGGTACATGTTGATTCCTTCCTTTTGTTTTTATTTTTGGTTCTGGAAGTGTAAATTTATGCATAAAATGATCAAATTGTTCTTGTTTTAGGTACAGGAATAAGAGGCTTATTTGGGCAAGCTCCGCTTATGTGGGATTGGCTGCACCTGGAAATGCAGGATCATGGCAAAAGGAAAGCAAGGTAATTTGTGACACCAAATCCGGTTTGGTAACGTTTTTGTTTTTCGGGTATTGTTTTTTTACCCAAAACCCGAAAAACAAAAACATGTCTGTCTAAGGTGATAACCTTACATTTTTTTTTTTCCTCCAGGGTTATCAGTTCTGGACTCAAACCAACAAGCAAGGTTATTTCCTCATTAAAGATGTTCGACCTGGGAACTATAGCTTGTATGCAACTGTTCCCGGCTTTATTGGGGATTACAAATATGAGGCTAATATTACAATTGAACCAGGTACGTTATCTATGCACATCTTTCATTGCCTTAAATTGGAAAGAAAAGAACGAACAAATGAAAACCAATTTTAACATTACTGAGTCTTAATTATATGCAGGAAGTGAAATTAAATTGGCTGATCTTACTTACGAACCTCCAAGAAATGGCCCCACCCTGTGGGAAATCGGCATCCCGGATCGATCAGCTGCTGAGTTCAACATACCAGATCCGTCTCCGACCCTTATGAACCAATTGTACACCAATCACACAGACAAGTTAGTTCTCATATAAGCCCTCCTATTTCTTTTTAATTAGAGGGTCAAGTTCTTTTGTTAGATAGTTTGACACGCTGTTATCAAACTGTCAATTTCAATCGCACGTTATAATTAATCTCGGGCAGTCAAACTGTCTAATAAAAGAACATTTCCTTTGACTTCAAATAGAAACTAAGCTATTTGTTTATATGCTTAACACATTGCATTGCTTACAGGTTTAGGCAATACGGCTTGTGGGAACGATACTCAGATTTATACCCTAACCATGATCTCATCTACACCGTTGGTACTGACAATTACCGTGATGATTGGTTCTTCGCTCATGTGACCAGGTACTTGTTTTTCCTTAACATAACAATGCCTCTGCTTTATTAAATTCGTAGGTCCTGTTTCTCAAAATCTAGCACTACTACAGGAACACAGGAAATCAAACGTATGAACCAACCACATGGCAAATTCAATTTCAACATAATAAGGGGGCAAATCCCGGAAATTATACACTGCAATTGGCATTGGCCTCAGCCACTAATGCAGAAGTGCAGGTATTGCTTGAATCCCAGAAAATGCTATACAAGGTGCAAGTGATATAGTGTTTAGTGTAGTTTTTGGCTAATTTTATGTTTGGCATTGTGTTCTTAGGTCCGGGTTAATGATTGGAGCGCAAACCCACCTCATTTCACGACAGGGCTAATCGGGAAGGACAATGCCATAGCAAGACATGGAATTCATGGTTTGTACTGGTTGTTCAGTGTTGGTCTACCAAGCGATCGGCTACAAGAAGGAAAAAACACCATCTATCTTACTCAGTCAAGACACAAGACAACTTTAGACGGCGTCATGTATGACTATCTGCGATTAGAAGGACCACCTCAAGAGTGAACATATCGGTTATAGTTCCAATAGACAGGTAGTGACATATAGAGGTTTCTTCAACAACAAGTTATACATTCATTTACCCTGATGTAGATATAGTGTAAACAGGCCTCAACTATAGCAACTAATCATACCAAAATCAATCCCATTCTTAATATTTTTTTTTTTTCTGTTTATAATAAGCTTAGAACCTAGGCAAAAGCCATTCCATTCCTTGTATATTTCATAAGGAATTCATGTTATTGATACTGTTGGTGTATATTTAATGAAAGGGTTATTTATGTCTGCACTAGTTTATTTCTTTCAAACATGACACTGCACAATAGTACCAAACATTCTTCTGTATCCTCCAACGTTTTCATTTGAACTTACTCATCAGACAGGGAAAGCAACAAAACCAGAACGGAAGAAACAAAAAATCAAGTCTCTGTTATTCAGATTCAACAATCTGTTTGATATATTAACTGATCAATCAATTCAATACAAGTCCTGAAACTGATTATCATACGTAAACAGAGACAGAATTGGATTGTGGTTCCTACAGATTAAAGAAAGGTTAGTTCAGTAATCTCAATTTATCAGGTCCAGTTGTTAAAAAGAAATACCAACAGACCTTACCTCCTAAAAGTGTCCACATTGTGAAAATAAATTATATATATGTCTACGTCCTTTATATAAAGTTTTCCTCACTCTGAAACTATGCTGTATTTTTTAAGGAAATGTTCTTGTTAAATTTATGTTTTTATAGTCGTAACAGCTTGGAACTCTGTTCCGACCAAATATACATTCGGAGAAAAATCAAGTTAGAATGATTCATATTCATAGTCTTACTTAACTAACTATGAGGTGGACCACCTTGGTACTCATTGAAGGTTGTCTTGTCTTTCATGTGCATCGCAAGCTTTTTCTTGGGATTTATCCGATCTTCCCGACTTCCAATTTTATTTTTTTTATAATGTTTTTGTGTGTGTGTTGATAGGTTCTTATTTCTCATGAGAGGCTATGGTCTGTTTTTTTTCCCCCTCAGCCAACTATGTGTACCTCTTTATTTTATATTTAATAAATTTCTCACCTATTGTTAATGTTATCTAAATAATAAAAAATTCAGTTTTACAATATAATATCTTAAGTTGCCAAATAGTCTGTCCAAAAGTTTCAAAAGGCATAATAAATTTTAGGTCTTATAATTGTTGGAGACGTCTAAAGGCTCAATATCTTATGGGATGAACCACACAACTCCTTCAAATAATCTTCTTTATTAATTACAATTTTGGAGATTTCTCTCCTCTTCTTCTCTGGGATAATTACAATTTTGGAGATTTCTCTCCTCTTCTTCTCTGGGATAGAAAAAACCAAATGTAACAGATCAGAACCATAAACAAACAAACTTTTCGTTTTCTTTTTCATTTCAGTTTCAGAGGAAACAAACAGAGAATTGGATAGAGAAATACCATGGTTGCCAAGTTGAGCTGACGACTAGAGGAAGAGACGGCAGCAAACGAAGAAGGTCGAGGTCTCTCTCGCACTCGTTATCGTCTCCCATGGTTGGAAATTCAGATCTCACCGTATTGACTCCGATTTGAGAGCTCGAAGAGAGAGAAGGCTTGACTGCCGGTGAAGATGGGATTGCGGTCGGTTAGGTGGGTGGGTGGGTACCTAAGGAAGAGAAGCCATGGTTTTTGGTGTGGGTTTCTGGACTGAGCTTGCAATATCCCACATTCATCTTTTCCCAGCTCCGTCAATTTGCCATCTCCAGGTTGAAATGCAAGCTCCACGTGTCGGAGGCAAAGAAACCCACTACAGCAGGTTATCCAGTTTTTTTTGGTGATTTTAGTGATTTTTCTTCACAAATTATTTTGAGCCATTAGATCAAAACCTTTAAATCCAACGGTTGAAAGCTTTGATGTATTGATACAAGAGAGCATATTAGAATTTTCGTAACTTGCGATCATCTCTAGTAGTAGGTGTGCTGGTGTCTGCGGCCTACCTTTCCCCTCAACTATTTGATTTTTCTGTGGGAAACAGTTTTGCTGTGTCTGAGTTCCTAGTGTGTTCTCTGTGGCCCTGTTTCCACCTTGGCTTCGTTTATGGTGTTTTCTTTCCCTTTGTTTTTCCTTGCCTCTGTTTTTGAAGTTTCTATGAAATTCAATTGACCAAAAAAACTTGTGATCATCTCTCTCTTCTAGTACATCTGAGCTGAGCCCTAACCCACCACAACACAATGGAATCTTATCTTCTCATGTATTTTGATTTTTAAATTTTGTGTTGATTGCTGCCCAGAATCAATTCTAGATGTGTTGTTTTGATTAAGCTAGCATATAAGGCCAGTATGGCGTCAGTTTCAGCAGACCTCTTCATGGGCAAATTTGTAGCAATTCTCGAGAGCCAAGCAGCCTCCATAGCGGGTGTTGGTGATCAAGTTGATGAGATTAAGCGGGAGCTGGAATTCATGAAAGCCTTCTTAGCGGATGCTGATGGGGGCTACAAAGCACACACACAAGTAGAGGAAGTGTGGATCAGAACCGTTCGAGACTTGGCCAATGATGTTGAAAACATCATTGAAGAATTCATGTATCACATGTACGAGCAGCAAATTGGCCGTGGATTTGCCAGGTGGATCCACAAAACCATTCACTTTCCAAAGCACCTTTGGTATAAGCGTAAAATAGCCAACAAGTTACAGAAAATCGCGATGGCAATTAGAGCTATTACAGAGCGAAATCAGAGATATGGTGGTGGTACAGCTGTAGAAGGAAAAAGTATTTCTTCTGAGGATATTCGCAGATGGGTGCAGAATCAAGCGGAGTCTTCTCTTTTTCATAAGGAGGATGAACTCGTCGGGATTGAAGGTGATAAGAACTTGTTAATGGGATGGCTGATGAACGAAGAGCAACGCCAAACTGTTGTGTCTGTGGTCGGGATGGGAGGATCAGGGAAGACCACTCTAGTTGCAAGGACTTTCAAAGATGAAATTGTAAAGAGACATTTCGAATGCTATGCGTGGATTACTATTTCCCAGTCTTATGTGATTGAAGACTTACTTAGAAGATTGATCAAAGAATTCCACAAAGCAAAGAAGAAAGAGGTCCCTGCGGACATGAATGCCATGAGTTATAACGAATTGCTGGAGATTTTGGTGAACTACTTGGAGACTAAAAGGTACCTAGTTGTATTGGATGACGTGTGGGATGTCCACCTTTGGGACAAAATAAGGTTTTCATTTCCAGATAAACATCTTGGAAGTCGAGTCATGCTTACAACTCGAAGAGAAGACATAGCATCCTCTTCTTTTGGAGTTGAAAGCCATGTTCACAGGATTCAACCGCTGGAAAGGGGTGATGCGTGGGAGCTCTTCAACATGAAAGCATTCTCAAGTTATCAGAACAAATCTTTTTCACCTGAACTTCTGTCATTAGCTCGGGAACTTGTGGAAAAGTGTGAAGGCCTACCACTCGCGATTGTAGCCTTAAGTGGTCTCATGTCTTCTAAGAAGTCACTTACTGATTGGAGCAAAGTCTATAATAGCTTAAATTGGCATCTAACAAATAATTCTTTGTTAGAACCTATGAAGAGCATCTTGTTGCTTGGTTTCAATGATTTGCCATACCGATTGAAGCAATGCTTTCTATATTGTTCCCTTTTCCCTGAAGATCAAGTGATCGTAAATAATAGGCTCATCACATTGTGGATTGCTGAAGGATTTGTTGAACATGTCGAAGGGCTCACGCCAGAAGAAGTTGCAAATAGCTATCTTATGGAACTCATTTTTCGTAACATGCTACAACAAAGGTTTCGAGGACCCTTCCCAGCATGTAAGATGCATGATCTTTTGCGGGAGATTGCTCTGTCTATAGCAAAAGAAGAAAAGTTTTGCGATGTACATGATGAGAGTGAAACAATGGAAGAAACTGGGGCACTCCGTTTGTCAATTCAAACAACTAATGGAGAAATTGGATCATGCAC